ATCATTTGAAGGGGGGACGATTTTCAGGTATTTTTCATCTTCTGGTTTCAGCAGGCTTCTAATGATATGAGAAAGTTATATTTTCTCTGTATGTACCCTATGTGGCATTTGGTGATATTCTGAATGTGAAAATTTGCAATTTTCCTCCAAAATTATGAAAATTGTCAACATAACTGAAACCAGATTCATATTTCATCCTTTCTCTTCTGCTAACTCTAAATACATGTGTTTTGGACCTTTTGGCATTATCATAAGTGACTTAGGCACTGTTCAGTGCTTTCAATTTCTTTTTAAATATCTATTTATGTTTATTCAACTCCATTGACTTCTTTCTCCTCTGATTTCCTGTTACACCTAGCCAATAAATGTTTACTTCCAAATGTTTCTCAGTTCTAGGATTCCCATTTCTGAATTCATTGATTATTTGACAAAATTCTGATCTGTTCATTAATAGCACACTTCTTTATATTACTCGGGATATTGTCCATATTAATTCAGGATTATAGAGGCTAGAACATTGTTTACTAATTCCAATACTGGAGTTACCTCAGGATTGGCCTTTGCTCTTTTTCTCCTGTATATGGCCTACTTTCCAGTTTTTTATTTATCTAATGATTTTTATTTGAATAATACTGTAAAGACTCTGTTATGTTCTTGCAAAGAGTAATGACTTTTGTTTTGGTGCTGTGTAGTTCAGTTGGGTGAACCTAACTGAAAGACTCTGTCTCCCTGAAGTAGGTAATGTAGAAGCCTTTTCTCTGTCCTCTCAGCCTTTGCCGGGATGCTTGGAGTCTGTAAGATATTTACATAAAGAAAGTATTACACCTAAATTCTGGACCTTAAGATCTTAAAGCACAGTGAGAGAAAACTGTATTAGAATCTAGATGAAAAGGGGCCTTGTTGCAAACTGTCTGAAAGTTTAGCTGATTTGGGCAGAACTGGGTACTCAAGCTAAACGGTGTTGAAGGTGCTTCTTCTTGTTATTTTTACCTTGCTGTCGACAGACACTTGAGACAAAAGAAATATAAACTGACAGGACTGTTAACAAAGAACCAGGACATTTGGATTTTGAAAATTTTCAGCTTCTGTATGAGAAATGATGCTAAAATCCAGATATTTTCCAAGCAAAGATAAAATCCATAGTACAGATGATAAAACCAATCAAGGCTGAGAAACTAAGAACATGACCATGAAATATTTTGTTAGAACCTCAGAAAGATCAGTTAGTGCTGTTTAACCACACAGAAGCTCTCTGAAGACATAAGGGTAAACATCATAGATATTTTCATTCGAATACTGTACTTAGGTCTCTAAGAAGTTTATGAAAGGGATGTGAGACTCTGGTTGGTCTCTACCCTAGTAAGGTTCACATGAACGTACAAAGTTTTCAAGAAAATCAGTTCAGGAGAAACACTGGTCCCTCAGAGTGAAAGAGACACAGATGGAGCCAATGAGAGGCCACTGAATTCCCAAAATTCTAATGTCAGAACACAAGCAGAAAAATCTTCAGAGACAAATATATTTGATGAAAAACAACATATGCCAAGGATAGAACCAAGAACCCAGAAGGCAGAAAATTATCCCAGGCCTTGGCCTAATTAATGAATGTCCAAACATGTGGCCAGTTGCAGGGCTACTGTGGGCCAGTGTACACAGGGAGCGGCTGAAGCTTGCACACACGGGTGACAGTTCCTTTATTTACAATGTTCTGCAGAGGGACAGTACTTGTACTGAAGAAACCACGCCACATGTGCTTCGCCAGTGCCTGGCCCCTTCTGACAAGATTCTTGCTTGAAGATGATACCGTGATGAAGCTGGATTCTGGAAAGAGCCTTGGAATGAGGGAGTGAATGTGGCATGTGGAAGGGACATGAACCACCAGGGTGCATAGAGGCCAGTTGCTGGTGAATAACATTTACCACGGTTGCCAGTGACCCCGATGTCCTGGCATTTATGCACTTTGTTGTCCTCTCCTTTTGAAAGGGGCCTGGACCTAGTGCTTTCTAACCAACCAAAAACAAGGATGAAGGAATGTCACCTTTAATATCAGGTAGGGAAAGAAGACTTCAGCTTCCATCCTGGGTTCCCTGTCCTGTGTGTCCACTTTCAAGGAAGCCACTTGCTCCGTTATAAGTGGCCATACAAAAAGGCCCCAGTGGAAGGGACTGCTATGCCCACACAAAGCCAGGGAGGAGCTGAGGCTGCCAAGAGCCATGTGAGTTTGCAACGTGATTCTCCTCTAGCACGGCCTCCAGGTACCTGGCACACTGGTGACGATTGGACCACAGCCTTGTGAGACTCTGAGCCACAGGCACACAGCCCAGCCACATTTGGCTTCCTTAACGAAACTGGACAAGCATGTTGAGCTACTAAGAGGCAACTTGTTACAAAGGATAGACAACTAACACACCAGTGCTGCTCTTAGCCAATGACTCAATAAAATAAAGGTTTCACCAAAGAGACCATACTAATTACAGTTACAGAAGCTTTTATAATTAAACCCCAAATATCAGCACCCTGCTATGGATGAATATATTTCTCACCACACAGTCATCTGCTGCTGATGTCCCTGGGTAACTGGGGGCTTTCCACCCAATAGTGGGTTAGTGACCCACGGGCTTTCCATCTTTTGGCTTCATTGTACCACACAGTTAAGATCCCTCCCCAGCTGAGTAGCGCATCTTTTTCTGATTAACAAAGCCTGGGTGATATAAAAGTAATCAAGTTAGCCACAAAGGGAAACAAGCATGGCTGGGAGATGTAGCACATGCAGGTGGACACATCACAGAACTAATTTCAGACAGCAGAAAGAAAGCACAGAACATCTGGTCGCATCTTAGATGCCACTAAGGAAAACACTTGCTGGTGCGTAAAGACCACTACTTGGGTTTGTAGCCTCGGGGGACCTGGATATGAATCCCCTCTAATGTGCATTAATGCAACTCACTAGAAACCCCAGTGTAAATGTCCAACAACTTTAGTTAGGGCCACTCGAGCACCCAGTCTTGCTGCCAATGATCAGAATGCCATGAATTGCATGTGTGCATGCATGCATGCACATGCACACGCACTGGGGATTGAATCCAGGGCTTATGTGTCAAATGCATGCTCTGCCACTGAGATACATTAACAACACCCCTCCCCCGCCACCGAGTCTTTGTAATTAATAGGAAGCCTTAGTGCATTTTCAACACTGGGGATTATTGAATAAAGAGGAAATATCACAAATAGAACACTTCTAGAGCTCTGAGATTATGACCACTTCTCATAGTTGACTGCTGCTCTGTAACTAAGACACTACAAATGCCATACTTCCTAGAGGTTCCAGATACCCTTCCCAAATGCAGTCCCCTTCACAAAGTGTCTCAGCACCAAGAGGAGGAAGCCCTTTTAAAAGATGCTGGGGCTTCTTTCACCAAAGGACACAGAAGAGCTGCTGAGCCATCAGGGGACCTGAAGAAGGGTGAGGGGCACGGATGATAAATGAACTCATCCACCTTTGTGACTCCTTGGATTCTTTCAGCCCTTATTTAATATGCAAAATAATTAACTCAAATATGTTCTGAAAAATGTTCCCTCAATTTATGATGGTTTAATTGGTACAAGGTATTAAATATTTCTGGGTTAAATTGACCTGTTTCTGTATTTCACATCACAGATTATATTAAATTCTGACTTTATTAGGTGGGTGTCATAGTTTATGTCAGCAGCCCCCAAGCCTCATGCAATTATGGATGCAACCAAATCTAGCATTTGTGATTAGTTTGTTATCTAGAGCTCGGATTGGTGGTGTGTTTCACCCGCCCCAGGGTGGAACCAGGATATGATGGAGGACAGAAAGGTGTCTCTCTCTCTTGCCGGTTGGCACCTGGCTGTTTGCAATGGCCATGAATGGGTGCCCCACCATGCCATGCTGCCTTGGAGCCAACCGAATATGGACTGAAATCCCTGACAGTTTCATTCCATGACTTAAGGAAAGTGGCAGGGTTGGGAGTGCAGTTAGGCATCACCGCTCAGATTCTATTGGTATATTTGATTTTCAGCAACTGCATCCCCAACTGGAACCAGTAAGAAATATTTCCCAACAATCATAAAGATCCTTGAAATTTGACTTTCAATTATCCAGTTTCATTATAAGCAAATCCCACATATACTTCTGGAAATAGCTGTCATCCTCACCTACAGTTTTCATGGGTGCAGCCCCTCCTTTATCACATAATGGATTTACAATCCCACATCGGGAATCTTCTTTCCTTGAATAAAATGGCAGCTGGAGTTTCTATCTTTTGATTTCACTTGCTGGTGTGTAATAAGTTGTTACTGCCCTGCTTTTCAATAGCCTGGCGATCATGCCCTAGTATCAACTTCTGTATAGGTTTGCTTTCTTTGGTTGAGAACAAAAGAATTTAATTTAAAAACAAATTAAGTACTGACAAATACCGCGCAGCTTAGACTTCAAGAACTGAACAAACCAGGATATGGCAAATCAGGAATCATTTCAATGGGTCCCAGTGACTTGTGTTGTTATCAAAAGATGCCTCAACTCCAACGCAGGGGAGCCCTGGGATGATACCCCACACACCAAACAGCTAACAGTAAGGGATCCAGCCAACCACAATGAATGTGGATTAAAGGCAAACGTCCATCATGGTGCCTGAAGCTGAATACATGTGCAGGGCTGTGGCATGGCTGGACTGAGAACAAGGAGATGCCTCAGGTGGCAAGACAGGCCACAGCCTAGGACACGTGGCTCCAAATGTGCAAGAAGCTGAAAATTGGCCCTACTTCTATCCCTGTGTCCAATCAAAATACCAAGGATGAAAAATCTAGTTGGCTTAACTGGAGCCATGTGTGGCTGACGGTTTGCCAGAATACACAGTGAAGAAGAGTAAAGTCCCACAACAAGCAAAAAAAGAGACAAAAACATTCCCACACTATGCCTGAGTGCACACACACAGTCAGTATCTTGACTCGACTACAAAACCATTTTACACATAACGTTCTGCAAATGTCATATTTCATTTAATTACTGCAGAGGGCTCTCTATGGGTAGACATGATGCCCAACCTTTCTGCTAACTGCACAACACAGTACTAAATAATCACAATTTAGGCAATGTGCTTGGCAGGACACAGAAACTCTGCCACAATTTTAAAAATTGTGCATAAATTTCATATATATATATCTTTCTTCCCATAAGACTCCTAGATCTGGAATTGCTCTCAAAGGATCACAGTCAGAATTCTGACAGGTCATGCCAGGTACCATCTTCAAAGGCAGGAAGGAGACAGATTTACACTGCTCATAATGCAAGCATTAGTCTTCTCACAGATACCAGTACTGGTGTCACACGAATTTTAGACTTTAATCCATCTAAGGGCTGAGAGCTTGTTTTCCCTTTATTTTTTTGTTGTTTTGATACACGAAGGTGAGACATTCACAAAATTCATGCACCCGAATGCTCCGCTGTGTGACTTCCCTTCCTCCTGGCTTTGCCAACTGCCCCACTCTGCTCTACAGGTGGAACTGCGTCATCCCTAATCGGCGCATTTACAAGCTACACGCATTTTCTATCAGCTGATTTTCCCACGTTTTTGGTGGCTTTTTGGTTTTAAATTGTTATGGAGGCCAATTTTTTTTTTCTGCCTTTTCAGCTCCTAGGATCCCATCTCCTATTTGTTAAAGGCATCTTCTTTTCTATGTTTACTTTAAAATCTTACTTTATAACTAGATATGTTAAATACAGGTGCCCTACAGTTATCTGTAAGGCGTACGTGTGCTTCTTCCTTTTGGAGATGTGGACAACCAATTATCAAAATGTCGTTTCCCTAAAACTGAAACATCAACATGACATTACAAGCCTCATACCAAAAAAAAAAAAAAAAAACTATTTAAAAAAAAATCCTTGTTATTTTTGCCTCATGCTTCATGTTGTTTCAGGAAAAACACCAGAGTAAATGTATCCTATTTTTTCAATCAAATTTATAAACATTTTAATAATCCTGAATATTTAATCTAAAAATAACTCCCCCTTTACGTATTTTCTAATTTAATAATTTCATTTCTAGCCAGGGGTGGAATCCCAGCTCTAAGCAGGCTGAGGCAGGAGGATCACTGTGAATTTGAGACCAGCCAGGACTACAAAGTGAGTGCAAGCCCAGCCTGAAATGCATAGTGAATCTCTCTCAAGAAGACAAAAAAAATTTTTTTCTTTTTTCTTTTGGGGGTGGGGGGCAGGGATCAAACTCATGACCTTGTGCTTACCAGGCAAGCACCTATGCTGCTGAGCTAAATCCCCAGCCCTCTCTTTCATTTTTCATACATTGTTTTTAGTCTGTTTTCTTGTGTTTGATGTAAGCTGTGTTACCTCCATAAAATGAAAACCTTTTGTAGAGTCTCATCTATGCTGGGGCAGTGGTTGGCAAATGTTCTGAGTGCTGCAGCCACAGCCTCCGCCACAGACTTGGGTTTTTTCCTCCCAGAACAGGGGACTGAACTCAGGATTTGCACTTGCCATGCAGGCACTGTGCCACTGAGCTACCTTCCCAGCCCACAGTCCCTGCGACAGACGCTCAGGCTGCCATTGTGTTGGACAATGGGGAAGCCAGCAGCTGACAGGACTTGGACCCTGAGCTGCGGTCTCTCAGGACTCCAGACCGGGGTTAGCAAGCACTCTGGGAAGCTCCCGGGCAGGTACCGGCTGCAAGGAGGCCTGACGGTGGGCCATGTGGTCTCTGTGACTGACTCAGTGCTGCTGTGGTGGCAGTGGGCAGCCTTAGACAGTAGCAGGGTGGAGTGGCTGTCCACCCATGCAACTCAACGACAGACACCGAAATTTAAATTTCACATCATTACACTGAAAACAGTCTTCCCACTTCTAACCACTTGAAAACGTTTATAAATTCTGAGCTAATGGGCCCTATAAAAATGTAGTGACACCTTGACTGTGAGTCAGCTTGCTGACTCTGCTCTGACTCAGTTTAGCCCAGCATTGATGGGTCCTTAAATTGTATAGAATTTATTCATAAACCAGTATTGTCAAATGGACTATATTCTGCTGAACTTTCTGATTCTTGAGTAATGTCAGTAGTTTTAACTTTATGCACACGAATCTTTTGATTTTCTGGTTCTTTCAGCCCATTTGTTCCAGCTGGCCTACTCCCCTCCCTAGCCTTTCTGACAGTGTCACCAAAGGTCACCTTCACATCAAACCTTCCCACCTTACACTCATGTGGACTGGACAGAAAGCCACAATAAGACCTGGCACAAGGGAATCAGGTTTGAAACAAACACAGGCAAAACCTCAACTGCTTCAACCACCCCACTGCTAAGTGAAATCTGGCTTCTCCTGGTCTCATCCTACTGGGTCATTTATTAGAACTGGCTATAGTAACTTTCCAATGTTCAAAAACAATGTTTTAAAAGAACTAAGCTCCATGGACACAGCATGGTTCAGGTACTGTATGGGGCTCATCTTATGCATTAACCAAGTGAGAGGACCGCAATACAAGCTTTACATAAGCAAATTACATTTATACTTTTAAAAAGTCAGCCCAACTGTAATGTGAAGAACAAACTGGTGGGGACCAAGCCACAAGGGCAGAGTTTGTTAATGACCTGGGTGCATATGAAATGACAATGTCTTGAGACTATGACGACGGGAGTGCAGGTGGATTCCAGAGAAATTTGGGGAACAGATCCACAGAGCTTGACGTGGGAGGCAAGGAGGGGCGTGGGGACACCTCCCCAGAGTGAACCCGCTGATGGTGGGCACAGTGTGCGGTCTGCCTGAAGACCTTCCTGCTCTTCCTGTAGTTACAGGCTCTTTCTCCAGAATGCACCCGCTTGTGTTGGTTGAGGTGTCCGATTTGGATAAAGGTTTTCCTGCATTCCTTACACTCGTAGGGCTTCTTCCCAGAATGAATCCTCTGATGCACACTCAGAGACTGGCGATGACTAAAGGCTTTGCCACACACACCGCACTCATAAGGTTTCTCTCCGGTGTGGCTTCTGCGGTGACAAATGAGGGACGACTTTGTTTTAAAGGCCTTCCCACATTCGATGCACTCATAAGGCCGCTGGCCCGTGTGCAGTCTCTGGTGCTGGGTGCAGGATGAGTTATCCCCAAAGGCCTTCCCACACTCGGCACATTTGTAGGGCTTCTCTCCAGTGTGAACCCTCTGGTGCTGGATGAGGTGCGTAGTCTGGCTGAAGGCCTTCCCACACTCCTTGCACTCATATGGCTTCTCTCCCGTGTGCGTCTTCTGATGCTGGGCAAGGTGGGCCTTCTGGGTGAAGGCTTTACCGCAAACCTTGCATTCGTAGGGCTTCTCTCCCGTGTGGATCCTCTGATGAGTGGCGAGCTGGGAACTGATGCTGAAGGATTTCCCGCACTGCCCACACTCGAAGGGCTTCTCCCCCGTGTGGATCCTCAGATGACTCGCAAGGTGAATGTTCTGCCTGAAAGCTTTGCCGCATTCCTTACACTTGAAAGGCTTCTCTCCAGAGTGCACTCTCTGATGCTGCGTAAGAGAAGCGTGATGGCTGAAGGCTTTCCTGCAAACATCGCACTCATACGGTTTCTCTCCGGTGTGAATCCTTTGATGCACAGTCAGGGATGAGCCATACCTGAAGGACTTGTGACACACATCACACTTGTAGGGTTTCTCTCCAGTGTGAATCCTCCTGTGCTGACTGAGGCCTATATGATCGCTGAAGGCCTTCCCACAATCAATGCAGTCAAAGGGCTTCTCCCCGGTGTGGTAGTACCTCCAGTGGCGGACAAGGGACGTGTTCTGTATGAAGGCTTTGCCACACTCCACGCACTCATAGGGCTTCTTGCCTGTGTGACACCTCTGATGTCGGGCAAAGGAGGAACCATCACTGAAGGCCTTTCCACAATCGTTGCATTTGTAGGGTTTCTCGCCAGTATGAATTCTCTGATGGACAGTAAGGGATGAGCTCTGGGTAAAAGTTTTTTTACACTCATTACACTTGAAAAGCTTTTTTCCTGCATAGATTCCTGTCTGTTTTCTTACCATTGAGGCTTTTCTGAAGCTTTTACTTGAAATGCCAGTGTGACCTCTCTCTTCTGAATCATCCAAGTGGAACCATCTTCCAGACTTGTTGTACATGTGTTCTCTCTCCTTTGGGAGAGCTTCGTTATGAGAAGCACCCTCTTGCCCAAGTTGTGTCTCCTGATCTGCTAGCTTCATCTCAAACACACACTCAGAAGCCCAACTTGGTCGGAAAGTGGAACTTGCAAGTTTCGCGCCTGAAGCTCTGTCTGTGATGACCTCCGTGCATGAGTTCTGCTTCAGAAGTAACTGCGGGGTCTCACGTGCACACTGTTGGGCTGAAACACATCAAGAAAACAATCATCTCCTTTATCATTTGCTAAAAAAAGTGTGATGAAAGGAAAGCTTAACTATTTCACTAACTGCGGAACTAAACACAAATTCTGCAGCTGTAAGAGCTACTACTTTTAAATATTCAGTGTACATTGTATATAAGAAAACTGAATTCATATTGGAAATCGAAAACAGTTAAGTATATGTGGAGTCAGTTACATATCTCAAACAGAAGGAGCTGATGGGCTATGGCATTCCTATCTACGCTTTGGACCCTCAGGTGCCTCGCAAGGTATACATTGTACCTGAAACCTCTCTCACACTCTGCACTTAGAACACTTCTCCCTGGAATGTGCTCTCTAAGGTTGTGTAGGTGATGTCATTAAATACAGGTTATCACATCCCAAAAGCTGTTCAGAAGAGCACGCCCCTGCACACTCAGCACCTTGTTTTTTTTTTTTTTTTTTTAACACCTTGTATTCTTGTCTATTCACTAGGATTACCGGAAAGCCGATGTTCATCATGGCCAGAAAACGGTGCCGTTACTAGGAACAAAAGCTAATGGCCAATGAATTGCTCGAGTCTAGTATTTGCATAAAGTCATTTTTGCATTTTCCTGTTTGCTTCTACAAGTTTGAAAAAAAATCCTCACTTCTCTGAACATTTCTTAATGAGACTTTAAAATTTTACTCTTTTTAAAAATCTTTCCTGGCACGTTTACAATTCATAGTAATGAGGTTCTTCTCGGGAGTTGGAACACAGACATCTCGCAGCAGCATTGCTACTTCCTGCCTTCCCTTTTGCCCCTTCCCAAATCCACAAGGTCCACTCGGGTTTTCCAGCTTTACTGAAGCAGAGCTGAAAAATAACTACCTGTGTACATTTAACCTATGCCCTGGGTCTTGATATGCATTATGTAATATCACAATATCACTATTTACTAATCCATTACCTTACACAGTTGACATCTCTGTGTGTGGTGAGGGTGCTGGAGATCTACCGAGCAGATTCCAACCACCACAGTCACAATGTGGCCACTGTGCTTGCTACACAGTAAGTGTCCAGAGCGGATCCATCTTGAACTTAAAACTCTGTGCTCTTTGACCAATGCCTCCTCCCTTTTCACCCAGCCCTAACTCCAAGTAATCGCTCTTTGACTCTGTTTCTTGAGTTTGGCTTTTCGTGGACCCCACATACTTAAGCACCATCTTTAATCCGGCTTCTTTCACTTAGCATGGTACTCTCTCAGTCCCTGATGTGGAACAGGCCCTCAGCCCATGCAGGACTCCACAGGAGGAATCCCTTCCTCTTATGGCTGAAGAAGATCCTCTTACGTGCACATACCCAGAGACCACACTGCCCTAATTCACTCCCCTCCGGCAGGCACGGGTTTTTTGCACTCTGGGGGTGCTGTGAATGGCGCTGCCTGAACTTGGGAGTGCTGACGGCTCTGGCAGCGCCTCTTCCTTTCTGCAGTTATAACCTTGCAGCAGGACAGCCAATTGTTTGTGGTTCTAGTTTCAGGCCCCTCCAGACTGCCTTCACTAACAGCTGCAGTTATTTAGACTCCCACTAACACTGCACAAAGGTTTCATTTCTCCACGTCTCTATCCACACTCCTGCTTTCATGTTTTAACAACAGCTGTCCCAATAGGCATGAGGTGCTGTGCTTTGAGGTTTATTCCTCCCAGGACTGGGGATGTTAAGCATCTCTGCATGACTGTTAGCCATTCCGTGTCGTCTTCTGGAAAAAGGTCTGCCTAGGTCCTTTACCAATTCTCAGTGGGCGATTTGGCTTCTGCTGTTTTATGAGTTGCTTATAGATTTTGGACAGTTATTGGATAACTGATTTGCGAACATTTTCACCCACTTTGTAAGCTGTCTTTTCATTTTATGGATTGCTTCCTTTGCTGTGCAGACCTTTTTTTCTTTTCATGGAATCCCATTTGCTTATTTTTACCTTTGCTGCCGTGCTTTTACTATCACATCAAGGAAATCACTGCCAAGAATATCATTTAGCTTTTCTTACATTTTTTAACTAGTTTTTATGGCTACAGGGCTGTTAAGTCTTCAACCTACATTCAGTTATTTTCCTGTATGTAGACATCCAGTTTCCCAAAACTAAACACAGAAGACACTATACTTTCCCTATTGTATGTTCTTGGTGTCTCTGTCAAAGATCAGTTTACATTCTAGGTGCGGCTTTTTTCCTAAGATGTCTAGCCCACTGACCTACATGCCTTATATGTTTTATGCAAGTATCATGCTGTTTTGACTACAATAGCTTTGTATAATCTTAAATCAGGGAGTGTGATGACTCCAGCTTATCTTGGTCAAGACTGCTTTAGCTATTTGTGATCTTTTGGAATTCCATATTAATTTTAGGGCTATTTTTGTCTTTGGGATTTTGATGAGGATTATACTGAATTTCTAGACTACTTTGGGAAATATTGTTATTTTGACAATATTAATTCTACTGATTCATGAATCTGGAACATATTTCCATTTATCTATTCCACCTTCTTTAATTTCTTTTATCAATAATGTACAGTTTTCAGTGCACAAGTCTTTTACCTCCTTGGTTAAATTTGTTCCTAAGTAAATTACATTATTTTCAACTCTTAAGTATTTTAATTTTAATCACTTTTATAAATGGAATTTTTGTAAGTTCTTTTTCAGATAGTTCATGTTAGTGTAACATAAATGCACCCTATTTTTATATGTTGGTTTTGTATTCTACATCTCTGTGGAATTCATTTATTAGCTCTGGCAGTGTGTGTCTGTGTGTGTGTGTGTGTGTGTGTGTGGTGTCTTACATATATGACCATGTCACCTGCAAACATGGACAATTCCGTCTATTCTTACCTGAAACCCTTACATTTCTTTTTCTTACTGACTGATCCAGCTACGACTTCCAGTAATATGCTAAATAGAAGTGGTGTAAGTAGGAGTCCTTGTCTTGTTTCTGATCATAAAAAGCTTCCAACTATTTCCCAGTCAGCATGATGTTAGCTGTGCGTTTGTCATGCATGGTCTTTAGTTTGCTGAGGTATATCACTTCTGCACCTAAACTGTCAAGAGTATGAACATAAAAGAATGTTGAATTCTGTTAAACGTGTTTCCTTTATCTACTGGGAGACTGAGTTAGTTTTCCCTTGTCACAGAGATGATTTTACATTCTCATACACAAGTAACAAGTATTGGTTTAATCTCACACAATACACTTATGGGGAAGAGTAACTGTGCCTGAAGTCTTTTTACAAAGTCACTTGGCAGACGCTAGAATTTTACACCCAAAGAGTTATACCTGGTTTTTAGGGAGTGCATCAAATGCTTGCAAAAATATGTTCTTAAAAATAGAAGTTTGTTTTTTCTTTGAAAAGAAGTTTAAGTCTTTTATGACAGCTAAAGACTCACTGCTTTGTGCCTAGATCACCAACAAAGGATGCCTGCTTTAAAACTTCTACTTGACACTAAGTCATCCAAATTAGAAGAAAATTAAAATTATCTCTACTCACAGGTGAGAAAATCAGGAGGAATACAAAAAAGAAGTACTAACACTGACAGAAAAATGAATTCAGGAAAAGACCAACATGCAAAAGTCAGTTCTATTTCTGTACACTATACATTATACATTACTGATTCAAAAAAGGAAATTATGAAAACAATTTCATGAAAAATAGCATAAGATAATAGACTACTTAGAAATAACTTTAACCATGGAGGTATAAGATTGTATGCTGCAAACTACAAAAAGAGCTGTAAGAAACAAAAAGACCTAAATCAGTGGGATGATGCCTGATTTTTTTTTTTTACGGTGACCATCATGATGATAATAAAATCATAATAGCTTTTTTACAATGACTTGATGATGACAAAATCATAATACTCCTAAAATAATCTACAGATTCAATGCAATCTCCACAAATCCTACTAGTTGTTCGTGCAAAAATAGAAAAAGCTAATCTTAAAACGATCTTAGAAAAAAGTGTAAGTAAGGGACTACACTTCCTGCTTGTCAAACTTTCTACCAGTAAGCACTCGCAGCAGCAAGGTCTGGCATTAGGGCAGACACAGCGATCAGTGGAACAGAACTAAGAGCCCAGACACAAACCCAAACATCTCAGATAACCGGTGTCTCAGAAACCATTATTACCGGCTGGGGATTTAGCTCAGCGGCATAAGCACCTGCCTTGCAAGCAGGCAGTCGTGAGTTCGATCCCTGGTACCAATAAAAAGGAAAAAGACAAAAATAAAAAAAACCACTGGCTTTCTAAAAAAAGAAACCATTATTATCACATTTTATTTTTTACTTCAGTAATTTTATGAGGAAAAACACACTTACCACAAGATGGCCCCTTTTGGCCAGTTTTTAAGTATTCAAGACAGTGACTAGAAGAACAATGCGGTGTACAGCAGATTTCTAGAACTTTATTCCTTGTGCTTAACTGAATCTCTGTACCCATACATTAGCAACTCCCTGTTTCCTTCTCCGCTGGCCACTGCCAATCACCCTTCCATTCTGATCCTAGGATCCTAACTGTCTTAGACACCACATAACCTCGCAGGCAATCACAGAACACTTACTTTCTGTGTCTGGACCTAGCATCATGCCCTCCAGCTTCACCCATACAGCCCAGACTGCAGAATTCCCTACTGTGTCCAGCTGAGCACTGCTGCGTGGCACACATACTGAACTCTCTTTTAACTGTTTACCTGCTGGTGGACATTTAGACTGTGTCCACATCTTTATCATTGCCCATGTTGCTGGTATGAACACGCAAGAGCAACATTTCTTCACAATCCTGGTTTCAGCTCTTTTGGACAATACCTGAAAGGGAGACTTGGGCCACCAGTAGTACAGGAATGACAGTCCCTTTGGGTGGCCTGGGACAGTAGTCACACATGATCACTGGTGGTTTAAGCCACCCAGCAACAAGACATACAAATTCCAGTCCTGTCGTGGTGTGGTAGATAAAGTACAGCAGAGCAGTACAGTGAAACACTGGATGCCACCCAAACCACCAAACAGAACAATACGCAACAAGTTCCGACAGACACAAGAGAGGAGCCATAGCAAAAACCACAAATTTCATAAAAGTGTATCTACTGTAATGTCAAAACACCTACCTAAAATGTAGACTCCTGCTACCATATATGAAAAATGGTTCGAGACATTTCACCAGGTAGTGGGTATGTTTATATATAGAAATCACTGGGAGTGTTAACACAGCATTTAATACACAAATAGAGAAATGGGTGCAAACAAGGGACATTTTACAGAAGGGAGAAAACCAAATTTCATCTCTATATCATAATAAAGTAATTACTTCTGGCTACATAATCTTTCACTAAATAGTGAGTAAAAACTGGCCTACAAATAAGAATGCTTTGAGGGTCCCACTAAACCCACACTGCTGGCCTCACCAGGTCACTGAAGATGGCACTTCTGAACAGAGTTCGTGCCCACACCCAGGTGCATGGTGACCCGACATGAGCTACTTCCCTGACACGCAGCACCCCAGGAAGGCGTGCACTCAACACCAAGGAAGAGGTGCCCTGAGCCAAGGGACACTGACACGAACGCACGCGGCAGACACCAACATGCATGAGGGAAACACATCCTCATTCCTCCTGTGGGGAACGTACACCTTTACCTCGACCTAACGAAGTCTCAAGCAGTCACATGTGGCTGTGCCGTGATGACGAGTTGCCATTTTCTATTCTTTTCTAACAGTTCTACCAACCACTGTTTCAAAGGAAACTTCTTTTCTCGCCCTGTGTGTCAGGAGGAAGAGACCTGCTACTTCCGTCTTCTCTCAGTGACTCCTGTGACACTGAAACATGGGAGTCTCTGCCTCCGTCCACCCTAGTAAAAATCTGAGAACACCACCTCTGGCAAGTTGTCCACGCATGGCCCCCCCTCACCAGAGCAGGTCTCCAGCGGCCTACATTTACATGTGCATTTTCTCCTTCTCCCACTGCCTACACACCAACCCATCACCCGCCCTGCAGCCTGCACTCCTCCATGACTAGGCGCATGGTGACAGGAGTGACCACTTAACAAGCAAACAGCAGACCTCCAGAAGTGCATCAGGACCAGGCAAAGCCACTTCAATGGACTGATGACCCACGTCTCAGTGGTCAAAAACAAAGCAACACTACAGGGAAATGTGGTTTTAGAGAGGAGGGGAAGAGGAGAGAAGAGTAATTATGAAATCCCAGTGTGTGGTTTTCTCTCCAGACCTGAAAGATTTGGTTCAACTTCTAAGTGTCCATTTCTGGACCAGATCCAGGGGTAAAAACTAAGCTCTTCCCCCACGGTGACTTCGCCACACCTCTGCCCACACTCACCTGGGAACAGGCCTGCCACCAGCTCTCTCTGCACCACCCAGTGCTCCTTCCCTAACTCCAGAAAAGCCACAAAATCTGGCTTGGACACACAGTGGCCTGCATGAATGGAAGACAGAGGATCTGGTTAACTGCTGTTTTAAAATCAAGGAGCTACGGGGCTGGGGATTTAGCTCAGCGACATAAGCACCTGCCTTGTAAGCAGGCGGTCGTGAGTTCGATCCCTGGTACCGGTAAAAATGAAAAAGACAAAAAAAAAAAAAAAAAAAAAAAAATCAAGGAGCTGCTCCCCGGTTTTGACAGAAAAGTATTACTGCAGGGAGAATCAGAACAAGTGAAGGGGAGCTCTCAAAGACGAGGCTGCACATACGAGAAAGACACCAACCCCACCAAGGCCAAGCTCTTATCTGAGGAATTGGGGCAAACTTTCAGGAAACCCTCTGCCTTCTCCACACTCAAACTTGAGGTGATGAACACAGCGGTCCAGGAGACAGACTTGCATCTGTGAGACGGACAGCTTACCGAGGGGTCCGAGGCCAGCATGGCTCTCCCACAGCACATTCCCACAGAAGCTCTTCTGCGCTGGCTCTAGCTGCGGGGTAAAGTCTATGGCCATGTCTGCAATGGCCACCAGGCCCTGAAAGGAGCAGACATGTTCTCCATTAGCTCGCTTTCTCCGACCTGTGTGGCCCTAAGTAGATGGGCAGCATCACAGATGGTGACCTGAGTACTCTTTACCAGTGCCGAGTAATCCAGGTATCTGTGCTACTTACAGAAAAACAGGAGAAACCTGAGAGCCTGCTCAAAGCTTCCTCACATTCCCTAAAGTGAAACTGTTCTTAAACAGGCTCACTGTGATTCACTTCAACTCAGCCCCCACCCCAGCCCCACTGTGTGGAAAGATTGTGTGAATCTTTCTTCCAGCAGGATCATCTGCCCACAGAAAACACTGGATCCCGATGGGAACTCGCCCACTGTTGCTGTGGGTACACAGGGCCCCTGTGCCTTCTCTGGCCTGGAGGTATCACCTGACTCATCGGCTGGGTCTCCAACAGGGCACTGTAATTCCAGCCCTGCCCCAGCAGACAGCACTCCATGCCGCAGCCCTCGAGCCGCTCTGGTCCGGCTGCTGGGGAGAACTGTTTCTCGGGTGAGTCCTTGGGTGGAAGGAACTCCTTTGTCCCACACACAGCCTTCAGATCTGAAGGATAGTAAGAAAGCAAACATCTCACTCCTTTATGTGTTACATCGATGCAAATTTATAAAATGCAACTGGGTAAGTGAAAACCTTCAAAACAAGACATGTCACTTTGGAAGGTTTTTTTTATATGACTAGTAAAGATTCCCAAATTTATACAGCTGCAGGCCTGCAGGCCTGTAGGCCACACGATGTTGAACAAGCATCACACGTTCTGTTTTTCACAGAAGACTAGAAAAAGAAAGTAAGGCATAAAGGAGTTCACAAAGGTTCAAACCTGAGACAGGGGGTTCTAACGTAAACAAAGAGGCAGCGGCCCCTCTAAGGAAAAGCACGGGCTGGTGCACTCTGCAAGGCTGAGGCAGGACTGGTTCGAGCCCAGCCTGGGCACTCAGTGAGACCCTGTCTCAAATTAAAAATAAAAAACAAAGCTCTGGGGATGCGGTCACTGGGAAGGGGCTGAGTTTACTCACCAGCGCCTCTGACAGAGAAAAGTGCTGCCTGAGCCTTACTCCAGCTTTGCTAAGTAAAACTCCTGATCCTGTTTCTCCGACCTCCCTTTTATGACGATGCTAACTCATAAAAGAACTGATATATCACAGCCTTAAAAATGCCAAGTCTTCACAAAAATACTGGTTTTGGCCTTCCGTGTGGCCCCATGTCCTGTGTGGGCAGTCATAATCTGTAACAGGGCAACCTGCCCAGTTCTGAAAACACAAGCTCCTCCTTTCAAGCATGACCTGAGCAGAGAGGTCCGAGGAGACTCAATTTTTTTGAAATGGTTACCATTTCCGGTTCTGATTAAGCCCCCACAAGAAACCAGAAAGGCTGAGTCCCTGCCCCACTGGGTTGCGGTTTCCCAAGTAAAGCTGTGTGTAGAACCTTGCACCACATCCGGAACAGCACCACGTCACCGCGACAGCTCCAAAAATGCCCCAGTGGTAAGGACCACTGTGCTCCCCCCCCCCAGGTCCGATGAAAGCACTACCCACTGCCCTCCTGCAATGAGAAGCCCAGTGGAACCCTGGATCTGCTTCAGCCCAACCAAAATCCATCTCTAACTTACCACTCACCTCTAATGCCTCTGTTTATTGTTTCACTGACTTAAAACTGTGACTGACTCTCCTGTTTCCTCCTAAGTCCCTATCTTCTCTTCCCCTCTCAGAACGGCAGTGTCTAACGCACTTCAGTGACATAGGTCTATCTGGTCTCCTCTGGGAGATGACAGGGTCTTTAATGCATGCGCTGAGGCCAGGCCAGGCCAGGCCCAGACCCAGGTGTTTAATGCATGTGCTGAGGACAGCACCTGTGGGCGGCAGCTCCCAGCTCCTTGTCCCGTCCATACGTACCAGGGTGCCAGTCTCCTGTCCTCCCCCTTCCGGCCATCCAGGGGTCCTGTCCTTGTTCCATCGAGGAGATCACATCAGGCTTAGAAGCACAGAGGCCTAAACACACCAGAAGACCAGAATGTGGTCAGGCTGTGGACCGGCGCAGACTGAGATCCAGCCCCCCGGGCTCAGAGAAGAAGGCACTGCACAGGACGAGAGGTCACAAAGCAGCAAGACACCCTTACCCAGTGAGGCCAGGTTCCTGTAATTCTCCAACATCACCTTTCTATACAGACTCCTCTGCACAGAGTTCAGCCATTCCCACTCCTCCTGGGAGAAATCCACAGCCACATCACCAAATGTCACCAAGCCCTGGAACGACATTAATATATTCTTGCTCAGTCAGTGCTCAGGGCCCAAGGCCTGCTACTGAGGGAATCCCTCCCCTCCTTCCTAGGTTGGAGTTTTTATCCCTGGTACCTCGGAGTATGACTGCATCCAGGGACAGGGCCTCTAAAGGGATGAAGTTACATGAGGTCATACATCGGGCCCCTCATGCGATCGGACAGGACAGAACAGAACTTATATGAGGATGAGACAGCAGGGGGGTGCACACAGTGTGAGGTCACAGGGAGAAAGGACAATCCATGCCAAGGAGAGGCCTCATGGTGAGTCAAATCCACTGACATTGTGGTCTCGGGCTCTAGCTTCCAGAACTGTGAGAAAAGTATTTTGACACTTCATTGGTAGTCTGGTATGGCATCCCTAGCAAAATACAGGGGGTCTGAAGGTTACCTTGTCTTCATGTCAGTAACAAATACATGTTTATCTATTTGGAGAGCTAGGTAACTGCTGGGAAGCTTGCTTGCTTCTTTCTCTCTTCCTTTCTTGTGCTGTCGACTGGACCGAGGACCTACTAGCACATATTAAGCATACCCGACACCCACATCCCTCAAAAGCTGATCTCAGGGACTTACCTCAGACTAAGTCAGAGACCATGTCAGAGACTGACATGGCAACCACCCTACCCTTGGGGAAGTGTCATCTGGGGGAGATGAAGGGAGGCAACACACACAAAATATATCAATTCCAGACAGTCTATGAGACTAACTTGCCCCACGCTTAGTAGGGACACTAGAGCATTTCTGTCTGAGGTGTGCAAGTGGCCCACAGCAGACCAAGCAGAAAACCAGCCTGGGGTGAACCTTCAAAGAGCAGCACAGCCAATGCCCAGCTGGGGCCTAAGGGCTGCTAGTTCACTTTTAGTGTTAACTCAATGCTTGTTAAACAAAACATGATCATATTCCTTCTTCTAAAATTAAAAAGGAATGTCCAGGATATAAAATCATCATTTAAAAAATAGCTCTTCTATAGAACAATAGTAAACAATCTGAGAAAGAAATCAGAAAAACAGCTCCATTTATAAGTATAAGAAAATTACCCAGAGGTTGGGGGTATAGCTCAGCAGTACAGATTCCTGGTGCCAACGAATAAATAAATAAACATATTTTTAAAAAATTATGCAGGCATAAACCTAACCAAAGAGGGGACAAAATGCTACAATAACATTACAGAAGAATGAAGAAAGAAATTAAAGAAGATCCTAGAAATAGAAAGACCTACTATATTCATGGATTGGCATGGCCATATCATTGAAAGTAACCTACAAACTCAATATAAACCTATCAGAATATCAATGGCATTCTTCCCAGCACTAGAAAAACAGTCTTAAAACTCATAGAGAAACATAAAAGATCCAGAATAACCAAGGGAATCCTAAGCAAGGACAACAATAAAGGGAGCATCACAATACCCAGTTTTAAGTTATACTACAAAGCCACTGTAACAAAAACAGCATGGTACCAACACAAAGATAGACATAGACCAATGGAATAGAGGACACAGAAACAAACCATACAACTAAAGTCATCTGTTCTTGACAACAGGATCAAAAATATACACTGGAGAAAAGATAGCATCTTTAACAAATGATGCAAGGAAAACAAGATATCCATATGTAGAGGATTCAAACTAGACCTCTGTCTCCTACTCTGTAAAAAAAATCAATTCAAAATAATCAAAGACTATGTATAAGACTTAAGATTTTTAAACTGCTAGAAGAAAACTCAGGAGAAACACCTGACACCTTAGTAGGCACAGGCAAAGACTTCCTGAATAGGCGCTCTAAGAGCAACCCACCCAATCCCAGCAAGAACCAACAACCGGGACTACACCTAACTAGAAGGCTTCTGGGCATCAAGGAAAACAGCCAACAGAGTGAAGAGATAGTCTGAGGAATGGGAGGAAATCTTTGTCAGCTACTTTCCTGACAGGGGATTAGTATCTAAACATACAGAGAATTCCAAATACTTAACACAAAAAAGCAAATAATCCAACCAGTAAAAGGGTAAACAAACTGAACAGACACTTCTCAAAAGAAGTACAAATGGCCAATCACTAGTTGAAAACATGTTCAACATCTTCAGTATGCAAGCAAAGACAAATCAAAACTACACTGAGATTCCACCTCGTCCCAGTCACAATGGTCACCACCAGGAATACAAACCACAGTAAGTCCTGGAGCGGATGTGGGGAAAAGAAACCATCTACACTGCACTTGGGAATGTAAACTAATATAACTGCCATGAACATCAGGATGGAAATTCTTCAGAGACCTGAAAACAGAAATTCCATATGATTCAGCTATGTCACTCCTTGATACATTCCTGAAGGAATGAAAGCCAGGGTACTATAGATATGCCTGCATATCTATGTTTATTACAGCATAATTCATAATTGCCAAGGTATAGAAACAGCCTGGTTACTCATCAGCCAATGAGTGAACAAAGAAATTGTGGTCCATATGCACAGTGAAGTATTAATCAGCTGTAAAAAAAGAAGGAAAATATGTCATTTGCAGGAAACTAGATGGAAATGGTGACCGTTATCAAAGCAAAATAAGCCAGACTTAGACAATACCACATATTCTCCCTAATATGTGGAAACTAAAAAAATAGCATGAAAGTTACTACACAAGAGGAAGGGAATAAAGGGACGGAAGGAGCAGAGTGCATAATAGAGGGTAGTGAGGGATATGAGAAAAGTTACTCATTGTATCACTGAGCATCATGATGTACATGTTGAATCTGTGGAGGTGAAAGGGACGCATCTCACTCTGCTACATTAAATAGCATTTTACAGAACACTACATCTGATACTGCCACTTCTATTAACAAAAATGTACTAATGGAAAAAAAAAAGTACTAATGTATGCAGACACCAGGCAATTAACTTTTAATCTATAACTGAGATGTTGAGCACATTCTTCTTTAAGAGCAGTTGTGTTTAAGAGTAGTTTAGAGATATTTTAAAATATTTCTAAGCCATGTATTAACTTACTCCTTACAGGAAGTATTTGAGGCAGACCCCATCATTGTTCCTCACTCCACAGCCGGGAAGACAGTTACCCGGTAGTTACATGCTAGAGCCACATTTGAGCCCACAAAGCCTGTTCCCAAGGCCATGCCTGCAGCTACTACGTAGCTCTGCCACTATTCCAGCGTGTGACAGGGATCACAGCAGTGATCCCATCCATCTGACTGGGAAGCAAGACCCACTAGAAAACAACATGATTTCCAGACACAGTGAGAGGCTTCTGAGGTCTAGATCAACCTGCTTAATCAAGCACACAGAACTCTCTCGAATGCAGAAGCATTCTTATCTCTTTGCTGAGATTCGAACATGTAGATTTCCAAATTGGCTTACATTTTCGCACTACCCCAGCAGGAAAACTCCACACAGGCACACAGTCTGCATCTGCTACAAGCATTTGGTTCAGTGACTTCACTTGGTTTCTTCACACAGAAGAAATAGAGACTCTAAAACCACACAAACCAATTCACACAGAAGAAATAGAGACTATAAAACCACACAAACCAATTAAAAATAAAAACAGCAAATCTGTCCTTATAGAAAAATGCTATTCAAGAATTTCAGGAAAAAAATGAGTAAAAAGTATGTTATAGGGGCTGGAGATTTAGCTCAGCGGCATAAGTGCCTGCCTTGCAAGCAGGCAGTCATGAGTTCGATCCCCGGTACCGATAAAAAGGAAAAAGACAAAAAAAAAAAAAAAAGTATGTTATAGGGGCAAATGTATTAAAAACTTTTTGGTTCAATCCAATTCTGTTCATTTAAAAACATTAGTGAAAATTATTCAGTAATAATTAGGTTTTTTAATAATAATTTAATAATAGTAATAATTAGGCTATTTTTGAGGGACCATCAATTCTAGCCCTACTGCTGTTCCATCCACATATAATATTGGAAGTACAGTACTCTGATCTCACCTAAATTTAGGAAAACTTAATCCACAAAGAAAGAAAAAATGGCTTGGAATTCAGATGAAATAATCAGTAAGGAAGCACACTTTCAGGCAAAGAAGGACTGTGACACCACCAACACAACAAAATGCTGATCTCAAGAGAACATTCACCCAGCAAACATTTTCCTTATCAGGAAACAGGGCAAAGCTGCCCCAAATCCTGCCTTAGAAACATGGAAATGATACAAGAGAAAATAAGACAGTTAAGTAAAGTAGCATGATGAAAGTGCTAAACAGAAGAATGAGAGAGATCTGAAGAACCGTGGGAGGCTCTGCAACCTTAGTACTGTGGTGGGGAAATGAGAAGGGAAGAGAGCAAGGGGCAGTGGGGCAACAGGTGTGGGACGCCCTGAGCTGGGCCGCTGAGGGCTCACCAGTCACGTGGGGGCTTTGGCTTTCTCCAGGAAGCCACTGGAGGGTCTTGAGCAGCAAGTGCCAAGACCTGGAGTTTGAACAGAGCCATGCAGCCGCTGCACTGAGGTCAGCATGGGCAGAAGCAAGCAAAGAAACACAGAAGCGGGGTCATGAGTCTTCCAGCCAAGGTGCAGCTCCTTGAATCCTGCTTGCTTTCCTGAGTTTACATCCACAGACTGGGAGCTCCAGCAAAGGTACGAAAGAGCGGGCTGTTTCTAGGTGCAGGTGCCACTCCTGAGAGTCCCTCTGAGAAAGGGGGACCTCCAAGGGGCTGGGTCACTGCATCAGGACCGAACACTGAACAAGGACTGGGCTGGAGAGGAAGCAGCAGAGGAAGCCCTGGGCAGTTTAAACCCGTTGTTGTGGTTTACATCTTCAAACCCTCGTGTGCTCCAAATGGGGCTTTTAAGAGCTGACTGGGTCATGAGTGTGGATACTCATCAGTCCTCTCCCAAACTGAGAGCTAAATTTGACATTGGAAGAGGTGGGACATGGGGGTGTGGCCCAGAAGCTTAAGTCTCCCTTCCTCTCCCATTGACCTCATTCTCTGCTTCATGCTAGCACTGCAGGCAACAATTCTTCACCTCACTGCCCTGCCTTGGCGCCAGCCAACTATGGACCAAAACCTCTACAAACTGTGAGCTAAATAAACTTTTACTTATTTAAATTGTGGGTGTCGAGGCTGGGGATTTAGCTCAGCGGCGGCATAAGCACCTGCCTTGCAAGCGTGAGTTCGATTCCTGGTACCGATAAAAAAAAATACAACACATCCTACTTAAATTGTGGGTGTCCAGTATTGCGTCTCAGCGACGAGAAGGTAACTAAGACACTATCCCCACAGCCCATCATTCACCAGAATTTGAGGAAATGGGAACTGGTACCCAGGACAGGGTTCTTAACATTAAAACTTTTCAGAGAAAATGCTCCTCACTAAGTTCTTAAAAAAAAAAAAAAAAAAAAAGCAAGAGTATTTTAGAAAGGAGAGAGGAGAGGAAATGCCAACTCACCTGGGACATGACTTTAAGTCTAGTTCCTGTCCTTGCGGTCTCCAGTGTGTGGCCTCTCTCCTGGAGGGCAGTGTCCCTTGAAAGCAGTGCCGGGGGAAAGAGACCAAGTCTGGACAAGACTCCCAAAGCACCGGCCTGGAGACGGCCCTTTCTGCAGGAGCAGGGTAAAGCCATTTTAAAGGAGCAGGTGGGACCCTTTATTAGCCCACCGAGAGGCTGCCAAGGAGTTGGGGCACGGGCTGCTTCTCTGTGGGACCCTGAAAAAGTCAAGCACCCTTCGGCCCGCCGCTGACTCAGACCCTTCCCAATCTCTGGACGGCCCGGGGTCGCCAGCCTGGAGGTCAGGGACATCCAGCACCAGGGCTCCGCCAGCTCCGGACCCCAGTCCTTATTCCAGACCCACGAGTCTGTCGCCGCCCGCCCCTCCGCGACGCCGGCCGGTCTCACCTCCGCGCGCAGGCCCCGCGGCTCCAGCTCCCCGCAGGCCCCTGAGCCTCCGCCGGAGCAGCGCGGCTCTCCGCGGCCAGGGACGACCGGAGTCCTGGGCTTGGGGAGGCAATCGCCTCCTACCGAGAGGGCTCCCCGCCCGTAACCGAGGACGCTCAACCGGCTGGGGCGCTGGGGGACACACCCCCGGCCACGCCTGCCCGCCTGCCTCCACCCTGCCAGCCAGCCCCGCTGCCCAGCAGTTTGCTCCCGCCGCCGGAAGTGGGCGTGGCCCGCGCAGAGCCCTGTGGGAAATGGAGTTCGGAGCAGGCAGCGGCGGCCCTTCGGCTGCAAAGCTTGGATTCGCCCCAGGCTAAGGCCGTGCCCATGAACCCCGCTCCGGGTCACTCGTTCGGGATCGCGCCTGCCAGCTGGTTTTGGCCGTAAGCACAACACACCTCGAGATGCAGAAGCGCGCCCCAAAGCAGCCGGGGCCAAGCTCGCAGTGCGCAGGCGCACTGGCAGAGCGGATGGGAGGGGCGCGGCCTACCATGGGGGCGTCCTTCCTGGGGTGCGGCCTATTGGGGAGGCGGGGTCAGGGACGTTGACCGCGGCACTGTCTCCCCAGACCTTGTCTGTCCAATGTGATGCTGGTGGAGGTGTACGGCTGGGTGCCGGTGAGATCCGGCCAACTCCAGGCTTCTGGAGTCTCCTCCTAGCTCACCCTGGCCGGGACTGGGGCCCCTCCTAACTCTAGTCCCACCTGGCTTCTTTGGTCATTCACCAGACACAGCCGCGGGGTTGCGACTATAATGACCCCCCCCCGTCAAGACCTTCGAGAGCCCTTTTGTAATGCAGGAGTTCGCGGGCGTCTGTTGCGTGCACGCGCAGTGCCAGTCTGGGCGCTGACCTCAGGGAGGGTGGCGTCAGCCTGGGAACCAAGGGCTGTCGCAGGTGCGCAGCGCCACAGGTGAACCTACCCACGTTCTCAGGTGCACAGTCACAGGTGCCCTGCCCCATCACAGGAGTCCCCACCGTCAGAGGGAGGGATCAGCCCACTGTCACAGAGGCATGGCATTACAGGTGCGCCGGCCACAGGTATCCCCACGGTAGAAGGTGTGCAGAGTCACATGCAAGCCCACTATCACAGGTGCGTGGCATCAAAGATGTGCAGGCATCACAGATGCCCCTGTTATGGTGCACGTCTACATGTCCCTCCAAAGCCTTATGCAGTCATAGGTGTGGCTTTTGCAGAGGTAGATGAACCCAGAATATATTTTGATTCATGGTGCAATGCTAAGATTAAGTGTGGGTGATCAGTAGATTAGCCCACTGACTGGGCACAACCCGAAAGCCCCTCGACTGAATACAACATAAGGGACAGAAAGAGGCTTGTTGTCTTGCTCCTTGCTTGCTTTCTACCTTCTGCCCACTGTGAACTGTTTCTTCTCTGTGATGTCCCTCCACCATGCTACATTCCCTTGGAGCCAAACACTTATGGACTGAAACTTCTACAAACTGTGAGCTAACATTTTACCCTTTAATTTTGAGTGTCAGCTATTTTGTCTCAGCAACAATGAGGAAAGCAACAAAGGCATCTCTGTCCCCACCATCACAGACACACTCAGCTACACACCCAGCCACCTGCTCTTCCAACTCTGGGTTGGTCCATTTTCCGTGGCCTCAATGAGGAATTAAGATGACTTCCATCCCAGGGAGCCTCAAGCCGCCAGCTGGGGAAGCTTGAGATCAGCATCTCCCCTGGACACCCGCCTATTTCCTGGTAAAAGCCTGTTTTCAGGGTCAGGCTGACCCAGGCACCTCCTATCTGTGGTGATGGGGCTTGCTGCCCCCCTATGAGGCTAGCAGAACAGCGCTTTTATTACTTTTGAAGAAATCCATTACAAAGAATTATATGTTCTTCACAGTAGGCAAAAGAATTCCAGCACCAAGTAAGGATGTCATATTCTTGGCTGTTGGATAGTTAATAAACAGAATGTACAAGATGACATATTTCACTTTGGACATAATTTTAATTCAGTGAACTTAGTTATCTAGAAAGTACAGCGAAAAATGCATTTTCTACAAAATCATAACTTCTGATTCTGTATCTTCTGAGAGGGATTCTGGGCCAGTTCAGGGAGCCCAAGGGAGATTTTCAAGGATGAAGTCTCAAGGTTAAAGGACACACCTGTGCAAGACATCAGCAACAAGAGCAGGCCCAATGGAGAAGAGCAGGTTGTTAGCTCGTATTTACATTCTTACATAGTGCCATAACCAGCACATGTGTTTACCTGTGCTGTCATGGTTACAGAACTGTATCCCACTGCGTTCCTGCAGTAGGCAAACAGGGTCACATCCTCAGGTGTCCTTAGACGTACACCCCTGAGCAGTCTGAGGTTCCCCACAGGGATTTGACATCCACAAGGTGTGGGTCCTTCCTTTGGCCTGATTGTGCCAGCATGGACACAGCCCACTCCTAGACCTGTGCCAGTCATTCAGGAAAATCATTGTGATTGGCTTGGACAGAGTGGCAGTCCTCTCCTCACTGGGAACTGGGTAGACATCCACTGCAAAACTGAATTCTTTGAAAATTAAACTGAGATGACCAAAGTAGACTGCCCAAAAGAAAAGAGACAACATATGAAAAACACTAGTAAGAAGATGCAGGCATCGATATTGATCTTACAGATACTGCAGGTTAATCAGGGACTGCTACGAGCAATGCTGTGTCCCCTAGTTAGATAACTCAGGTGAAATGAACCGACTCCTTGAAAGAACTCTCAAACCACCCAAACTCAAGCAACAAGATTATCTGAACAGCCCTGTGTCGGCTGAAAAGATTAAGCTAAGCAGAGTTCACTGCCGCAGATTTACCAGTAATCACAGCGGGTTATCTTTTCCTGCTGCTGACCTGCTGGTAAGGGTCTGATATCCAGCTCCCCAGGAACATGCATGCATGCCTCTTATCCTCAATATTACTGGTAAGGTTGTGTGACACATGCATACACCGAACACACGGTTTAACAACCAGTTCACAGAACATTCCGAACTGCACTCAGCTCTTGCTTGCAAGGGCGAGCCTGCGCAAGCACACCACTAAAGTATTAATGTTGAGTCGCTGCCACTCAGCTCCAACTCTTTGGATTCCCAGCGCAGTAACGCAACGTTCCAAACAGCGGCTCCCACAAGGAATCCAACGCTGTCCATCTCCACAGCAGTCGGTTGGCCTGGTAACCGGGCCACGGTTACTAGCAGTCAGTCGGGTGAGTCCGGATCACACGACGACCACGCGCAACCAGGACAACACAGCACGTGGTCGTGTGCGGCTGGCGGGCCAGGCCACGGCGACGCGCATGCGCTCCGGCAAGCGCACGCGCACCAAGGCACCGTGCGGCTCGGGACTCGCTACCACCGAGGCAGTTTTCCTCCCCGACGCTCACGAAACCCGGTGTTTCCCACACGCCCCGACGATGTCTGTCTGAGACGCGCCACTGCCGCACACATTGCAGCCGCGCACGCGAACACGCCCTCGTCTTTAACAGTCCACTTATTTCCCCTGACCCGCAAAACGAGAGTTCCGATGGAAAACCAACAGCAAGGCCGCGTGTGGAAGGGGCGTGGCCCGGGGCTCGGGGACAGATGTGCGCAGGCGCGGGGAGTGCGCGCCCCCCTCCCTTGCCTGGAAACCAGAAGCGTCCCTAGTTACCGGGCGTCTGAGCCAGTGTCCTGGTTCCATGCGGTCCCAGATGCCTGTCGGTGCCGCGGGATCCTTCCTCTAGGCTGAGCTTTAGCACAGTAAGAACAGCACTGAGAAACCGCGAATGCTCCTCACCTCTGCGACTCCTGCCTCTTTATTAGTATGGAGCGTTGGCAGATCGGACGGCGTCTTCAGCACCACACTGTTACGCCTGAGCTCGGTTCTGCACCGCGCCAGAGTGGAAATTACCCTTGTAACGAATGACTAGTAAAATCACAATTAGTAGCTGTATCGGAAGTTGAAGAAATTCAGAAAGGCCACCAGCGGGGACACAGCAGCGCGTGCGCACCACCTGCTGGAAAGATTAGGTACGTACAAGCCTCACATTTTTCTTGGGTTGGGGGGGTGTTTGTTTTTTCCACTCCTGTAGGGTTTTCTTGTTTTTGTTTGTTCTGTTGTTTTTCGCTTTTGAGACTGCCTCGCTATGTTGCCCAAACTATCTTTGAACTGCCGGGATCCAGCCATTCTCCCGCCTCAGCCTCTGAAATAGCTAGGCCTATGAGGAGGCACCTACAGGTGCGGGCAGAGGGCTGTTACTACAGACCTGGTTCAACACCTCGTCGAAGCTAAGCACGTTTCTCAAGGAGGCCAGGTCATTTCTGGCCAGACTGAAGGGAAGTCATCCCAGACTTAGTGACTATCGAAAGAGATTCCTGGTGTCAAGTGGACACCCATGTTTTCCTGATAGGAAGATGGCTATAGAAAAACCTGGACACCCTTGGAGTGTGGAACTGGCTTGCTCTATCCCGAATCAGTTTTAAGACAGGCATGGCCTATTATGCCTACTCTGGAAACAGGCATACGATAGCAGTTTGTCCCAGAACTGTCTCCAAACCCAGCCACAGCCCCTGGCCTTAGTTTCATTCTGTCCAGCTTCCTAAAGTTGGAATGGCACAAAGCATGCATCTCCAATCTCTGACTTCTCTTTCTTTAAGTAATCTACCACTTGATTTCACCGCTCAGAAGCTGGAGCAGGGAAGTGGGTCCGTTCTCTGTAAGCACCATGCTTGACGGAAGCAGGGTTTTCAGTCACAGACATCTGAGTGCAAAGGCCAACTCAGCCCCACTCGGCCTCTGGGTGTGTTGTGGCCACTTTTCTACATTTTCATGTAAAGTCCTCTCCCAGAAAGCAAATAAAACCTTCCAGAAGAAAGCACAGGCCTGCTACCATCTTGATTTTAGTCCAGTGAGATGCTTTGGATTTGACTTTAGCTAATATGCTGGAAGTCACTAGCTGGTGATAATTTATCACCATAGCAATAGGAAATGAATTCATCTCCCTACTCCAAAATCAGAAGCCACTGTCCACTGCAGTGATACCTGCACATCATGGAGAAGATATCAGCACGTTCTACTGACCTGAAGTACATTTATGAAGGTACAAAGCTTTCTGAACATGGAAGGATTCAGAATACACTTCACTGAGACAAATATCCAAGCAAATGGCCTAACTAAATGGCATTTGAAGTAAAACTCTGTCCTTGTATAGACAGGGGAAGACAACAGTGACCATCGATGAAAGCCACTCTCCCTGAGTGTATTTAAATCTAAATGGAAATCTGGGTAGAGTCTGGTGATTACATAATCACTAAGCAAAAGCAAATGAGTGAAGGAAGTTCAAAGCTGACCACTAGGTTAGTGAGATGAAAGAGACATTAATGAATGTGTGCCGAGGGCAGAGAAAGAGCTAACCATCTGGGTCTCTTCTCTGAAAAGAGAAAAAAAATCCATGCCAGGATAGAAGGTACAACGGTGATCTCTCTCAGTCCCAACAGTGATTTCTAAGGAAAACCACCACTACCCCAAGCACAGCGGAGTTCTGACTCAGCAAGAGAAACGAGACAATCAGTCACATACAGAAAGGAAAGGAGTGGGTGCCACACAAACACACAACGTGAACCAAAGGGATAAAGTTTAATCACTACACCAAGAATGGGAATTTCTCTTTCAAATACAAATCCCAAATATCCACATTTTGAATTTGTGTTATTTTCAGAATACATGATAGGCTGAAAACCAATGGATGTGCAAAAACATACCAAAGTCAAGTTGTTACTATTTAATATTACAAAATGTGAGCATCAAATACCAAAATAATTACTCTGGGTCGGAGTAAGCAAACCTTTTATCTGAAGGGCCAGACAGTAAGTACAGGCTTTGCGGCTGACTGCCCTTGTCACTACTCAGCTCTGCCACAAGGGGGCAAACACAGTCACCAACAGTGAGCAGCAGGGCTGTGCTTCACTGAGATTGTAACATTGGCAGAAGGCTGGATTTTGTAGGAAAAACGGGATATTATATACTGGTAAGAAGTATGATTCATAAATAATTAGTAATATGTCTTTCTAGGCAAAACATCCTGGCCATAAGAGATGTAGGATGTATATGGTTCCCAAAGTTCACCCAGGCATAGTCTCATCTTTGAAAAGAGTGCCTATAATGCCAGCATTTGGGAGGCTGAGACAGGAGGATCACTTGAGTTTGAGGCGAGCCTGGAAGACACAGCAATATCAAGACCAGCCTGAACTACACAGCAAGACCCTGTCTCAAAAAAAAAAAAAAAAAAGAAAAAGAAAAGTTCAAGGAACATACACAACAACCAGTCATTTAGTCAACCACAAAGAACAATGTCAAATTTTTTTTAAGTAGGTATTTTCAGGTCATTTTACTAATGATAAAATTTGACATCATTTGGGATGCTTCTGGATAATAATTTATAAAATATCCAACTAGGGGCTGGGGATTTAGTTCAGTGGCATAAGTGCCTATCTTGCAAGCATGACGTTATGAGATCTCCGGTGCTGATTTTTTTTTAAAAAAGCAAAATATCAACTAAAAGTAACTTCATCAACAAGGGTTTTTCTTATACAACCAAGCATCAAAGAGGCAGTTTCATAATTGGCCTGGAAGCTGAGTTAGCTTCCCCGAGGTCATCCTGCGTCCTCCCCATCCTGCGTCCAAGGTAACTGCTGCCATCTCGTTACCACATGGGAAGGTTCAAGGGCAGGAAGTGAGAGACGAGGGGTCTTCACAATCTGTCTCCCCAAAGGAAAAGGGTTCTTCCCAGAAGCCCCAGCAGATTTCACTGGCCACCACTGGGAGAAACCGGGGACTCTGAATAGCACCAGGTTGGAACATTAGTTTGTTTGGGGTTTGTTTGTTTTCTCTTTTCAAGACAAAGTCTTGCTATGTAGCCCAGGCTGGCCTCACACTCAGCAATCATCCTGCCTCAGCCTCCTGAGTGCTGGGATTACCAGCATGCACTACCCCGCCTATCAGAAAATTAGAATCTTACATCAGCAAATTCTAAGTCAAGAGACAGATGCTACCAGTAAGAATTGCGTATAGCTCCTGTGTAGGTAACCAAGTCATAAAGATAATACAAAACAATTTAACAACGTGGAAGTCAAGAAACATGTTCCCAAAATTAGATGACTCCTGAAACAGGAACAAGTACTGAGATGACTGTAAAATGCCTGACCACCCCGTGTCATTTCTTGTTTGTATTTTCTATTTGCACATTCTTTATTGCCTGGGTGTCTAGAAGTGCCTGGGTATCTTCAACAGTGCATTTCGTGTGTGTGAGCAGTCTGGACCTGGACCTACACGCACTGAAAGGTGGCAAAATGGAAAGCCCATCTCACCTCCCTGCATGTGAAATGCTGGATTCATTCTCCTCTTTTCAGTCTTGGTGTTTGCATAATGGATTTCCTAGTTAATCCAACAGTATTTGATTAGTTGGTTTTTTGTTTCGTTTTATTGTTTTCTGAGAAAACTAAACGTTTAAACTTATGAAAAGAAGCCTTGGTTAGAAAATATAATTCTGGAATGTGTTAGAAACAACTTTCCAACCTTTCCCTGCTTGACAACTGTAAATAATTTGTAAATGTTTTATATGAAGCGTCCTGACTTAGGCTAAATAAACTCAGAATCAAGGCATTCTCTTTTGCACTCTAATTCCCAGGTCTTTCTCTAAGATGCCAGAGTTAACTGTGATTCACCTACGCAGGTGGTGGCGAACCTACGGCATGTGTGCCATAGCGGGCTGTTTGTATCACTGAAACTCTACAACAGTGATGGCAAACCTTTCAGGCTTTCAATGCTAACAAACAGCCTGCTGGGGCACACGTGCCATAGGTTCGCCACCACTGCCCAGGAAGCTTTGCCATCACTGGCCTAGGCTAATGGGCTTTTCTTGTTGCTTCTATTCATGTGGCTACTTGCTAGCATAAACTCTCTAATGATGAACAGTGGGTAAGTGCTGATGGAAGGCTTTTCCACATTTAACACACTCATGTGTGTTTCTCTAGCGCGCAGTCTCTGATATTGAAGAGGAGCAGCTGAATCATGACTTACAAGCCTCCTGCATTCCTTGTGTCCACAGGGCTCTTCCTCAGTATGAGTGACCTGATGTTGGACCAGCTGTGAACAGTGACTGAAGGCCTTCCCACATTCCCTACATTCATATGGCTTCTCACCCGTGTGGATTCTGCAGTGGACACTGAGGTGGGAGACCCGTGTGAAGGCCCTGCCACACACCTTACACTGGTACGGTTTCTCTCCAGTATGAATCCGCTGATGTTGCTTAAGCTGGGAGCTCACTCTAAAGGTCTTTCCACACACCTGGCAGGTGTAGGGCTTCTCACCAGTGTGAATTCTTTGGTGGCGGATGAGAGTGGACCTTTGGTTAAAGGCCTTCCCACACTCCTTACATTCATAAAGTTTTTTGCCAGTATGAACAGTCTGGTGTTGGATTAACTGGGAACGGTGACTAAAGGTCTTCCCACATTCCTTACAAGAGTAAGGTTTCTCACCAGTATGAATTCTGTAGTGAACCTTAAGGTGTGAGATGCGATTGAAGGCCTTGCTACATTCCTTACACTGATAGGGTTTTTCACCAGTGTGAATTCGCTGATGTTCAATCAGCTGTGAGCTCCGACTAAAGGCCTTTGTACAATCCTTACATTCGTAAGGTTTCTCCCCGGTGTGAACTCTCTGGTGCTGTATGAAATTTGAACCAGAATTGAAGGCTTTCCCACATTCCTTACATTCATAAGGCTTCTTGCCAGAATGGATATTCTCGTGCTGAATCAGTCGAGAGCCGTATCTGAAGGCTTTCCCACATTCCTTACATTTATAGGGTTTCTCGTTTGTATGAACACCTTGATGATCCATTAGGAATTCCTCTTGCCAGAAGTCTTTTCTACGTTTATTGTATCCACATGGTTTTCTTCCAGGATGCATTTTCTGATAAAAAGTAAAGGATACTTCCTGCTTCAAAGTGGGCATCTCCTCGTGACTGTCTAACGTTTGGCTGAAATGGCCGTCTGGACTTCCTGGTTGTCTGTCAAACTGGCTTCTGCACTCCCAGTCATCCTGGGAACTCGAGCACGCAAGACTGTAGCGTGCAAGGCCTTCTGTTAACTCCCACTGTGAGGATTCGCCGTCATAAACATCCCACTTTGGAGACAGGGCTCTGGTATAATATTCGGACTCCAGTACTGCAAAAGAAGAAATACAGTATCGGCTAAACAGTTAGAAAGTGAGGCAATAAAAAAGAAAAAGGAATAATAAGATAATGACACGGGTATAATCAAAAAGAGGTTATAAGAGTAGTTCATGTATTTGGGGATGGCAGTGTGCAACGGTAGGTACCATTATTGTCCCGATTGTCATGTTTTGAAATTGTTTTGTTTTTCTCTCTGAAATAAAACAGATTTGAAAAAAACAAAATATAAAAATAAAATGCTAGTGTAGCTCCAATTCACCTCTGAACTACGTTTTTAAAAAAAAAAAAATGTATGAGAGGGGCTGGGGATTTAGCTCAGCGGCATAAGCGCCTGCCTTGCAAGCAGGCAGTCGTGTGTTCGATCCCTAGTACCGATAAAAACGAAAAACACACAAAAAAAAGAAAGAAAAAAAAAAACTGAATGGGAGCCGGGCGCAGTGGCTCACGCCTGTAATCCTAGCACTTGGGAGGCTGAGGTGGGAGGATTGTTGCGAGTTTGAGACCAACCTGGGCTACAAAGAGAGCTCAAGGCCAGCCTGAACTGCATAGCAAGACCCTGTCTCAAAAAAGACAAAAAAAAAAAAAAAAAAAAAAAAACTGAATGGTTTCTCTGAAACTACAAGACAGACAAATCTCCTGAGTGCCTGAGTGCATTGTGCAAGTCATGGCTGCCGGGGAGAGAAGGCTTATGGCGCTTTTCGTGGAGATAGAGGTGTTGTGTCTCGTTACACGGGTATATGTGTCTGTCCTTTGACACACTGTGCTCACAATTTACATTTTACCACATGAGCGTACATTATACTTTCCTAGAGTACACTCTAAAACCCGAGATGTCACAAAATGAAAGGCTCTGGACATGGAGTGGTGCGGGCTGAAGAACAACGTGACTGCACTTGCCACTCCTGAGCTGCGCACGTCAAATGGTTAATTCTGTTACGTGCACTTCAACACGACTTAAAAAACTAAAGTGAGAAAGTGATGGCAGGACTGCACGGCCAGACCTGTGTCCCACATCGGCGCAGACGTGGGAGGAAGGGTGAGCAGGACGGTGGACACACCAGCAGGTCCCAGTGCGCTAGAATCCTGGTGGCTGGCCTCACACGCAGTGGACATGTAATACCTCTCGTGCTGCCTGACGCTGTGGTGGCCTCTGTATCTGAAGTTTCTCTGACAGCAATGGCCACTGAGTGGCTTTTCCTCGAACTTTCCATGGCTTAAAGGTAACCTTGGAAAGAATGGCTTGCTCCTCGACAGAGGACCAGGCCTGGTGTGCTAACCGGGAGCCTCTGGCACAGAAGTGTACTTTGCTGCTTATTAACGGCAAGAGCTGAGCAGCGTATGCAATCCAGATTTGTCTGGTGCATGGCTGCAGGCGCAGTGGGTGGCAGGTTACACTGCAACAGCAACCACTTGCTTAGCTGCAGAAGACGCATGCACAGCTTGGTACAAGGACCATGAGTACGCCTGAGTGTGTCCCTGGCGTACAAGGCAGAGGGCCTCGGGGAACTTCACAAGCGCATTAAAGGCACTTCTTTCACCAAATGCCTTTGCCATGTCCTACTCACAACTGAGGGGTGTGGACTGATGACAGTATGGTGTCTGTTCCCCAAGCACTTCTCTACTCTTCTCTAGTTCTGAGTACCCAAGGAGACTACTGTAGTCATCATCTCTAGCTTCTGTTTAATGCCTTCATCTGATACTGACATAAAAAAGAAAGGGCTTCTAGGAAGATGGCAGCATGATAAGAAGCAGAGAAGGAGCCTCTCCAAGATTTGGTGTCCAAGCAATGAGACACAGCAATGCAAGGAAAAGAAGAGGGAAGGAAGTGTGTCCGCTGGACCCAGGCAGGATCTGAAGAGAAATGAAGCACAAGGAATGAATAAAGCACAGGGAAGAGAAATGAAGCAAAGAAGGAGGGGGATGGGCAGTGCCTTCTCACTGGGGGCGGACTTCCTGCAGGGGAGGAGTTGTCCAACCTGCAGACACACTTTGCCAGCAGGCAGCCTCAGGGGGCTCCACAGAAAGACCCAAAGTGCAACAGAGCAGCAGATGCTGTGAACTGCACTGACTCATGAGGGGCACAGATCTGGTGTTCCCTCAAGAGAGGGCAACTGGGGGCTGGGGATTTAGCTCAGCGACATAAGCGCCTGCCTTGCAAGCAGGCATTCGTGAGTTCGATCCCTGGTACCGATAAAAAGGAAAAAGACCAAAAAAAAAAAAAAAAGAGGGCAACTGGCCATGACCCATCTTGGGAAGGGCTGAGTGAGCCCTAAACTCAAAACAACTGCTAGTTCCACCTAATGGCTCCCAGCTGAGCTCAAGCCCAAGGAGGGTGCACTGACTGCTGCACGCAGTCGGGGCCTGATTCCCACCCCATGACCAGAAACCCGCTAAGCTTCAGGGGAATCAAGGTGCAGCCACCACTCTGCCCTAAAACTACTACTGGCCTGCTCAGATAAATCAACATGGATCTGGACTTTGTCTCCACGCTGTGTCTACCAGTGACAACACAGACACACCATGGAGGGGACACTGTTATTTTCTCTTCTTTTTTTGGCTCAGTTTTTTTGTTTTCCTCATTTTTTGATCTTATTTTTATCTGTGAACATAGTTTCTAATTCTTTTGTGATTACTGTTCTGTTCTCCTTTTATCTTCTTTCTCCTCCATCTTCTGCACCAGTTTCCCAAAGTTTGTGTGATCCTCTTTTATCCTCCAGTCTTGCTTCTAATTTCTTCCTCTTCTTTTATTTCTCTATTTTTTCCCCAACCCATTTTACATTTTCTCCCCTGAGGGTAAAATCAGCATATTGAGGACTTATTTGCTGCAAACAATTTTGTACTTTATTTTAGATTTTGTTGTACAACTACAAATTTAGTTCAGATGGCTAAAGGTGGCAAATGAACAGTTACCTCAAGCTGTCATCTTCTAGGCTTCTAGTAGTCTTTGCTACTATCATTATTACTGATTGTACCACTTTAGCCAAAGAGACATAATTGTTCTAACCACTATTCTTCCTCATACACCAAGACTGAGATTGCCTAAGGGTCATCGAAAATACTGTGGGCCAGTGCCAAAGAACCAGGGGCTGGGCCAAGCAGGCAGCAACTCCTTATCCCTAATCATTTGAAGATGTAGGATCTTGCAACCCAAAAGCCAGCTACATCTGGAAGACATATCTGAGAAGTTGTCATTTCCTAAGGGTTCTAAATACTAGCAATACAGCAACCCACCATAGGTAATTTACAAGCATCAATCCAGGAATTAAAGTAAAAATAAAAAATAAATTAAAAAAGAGAAAATCAGAAGACACTTAAACAAGATGCAGCCCCACTCATCCAGTGCACCAAGACAAACCCAGGGGACAAAGAGGTGGGACAATCTGAAAGCTACCTACCTCGCCTCTCTGAAGTCATAAAAACAAAGCGAATGAATGAAGCTCTAGAAAAAGTCAACTCAGCAATAATTTCTCACATAACTACAGAGATGGTGACCAGGGTGAAAAACATGCTTAGTGAGTACAGAGCACATAAAGATTAAAACAAAAAAAGAGGAGTTTAGGAAAATGTTGGAAAACATGAATGAGAAACATAGGGAAAAAAATGAAATCCATAAAAGAGATTCAAACAGGGCTGGGGATTTAGCTCAGCAGTATAAGCACCTGCCTTGCAAGCAGGCAGTCATGAGTTTGATCCCTGGTACCAATAAAATAAATAAATAAAAGAAATTCAAACAGATATCCAAGAGATTAAAAATTTCATTGAAACTACCACAGCAGAATAAACCAACATGAGGACAGACTCTCAAGATATAGATGTCAGGCTTGGGGTTAGCGATCAGGAAAAGAAAGATTTCCTAAAAAATAACAAGGGACCACAAGAAATCAATGCAGATGATGCAAAGAAGAATAACATAAAATTGACTGAAGTCAATGAAAAAAAGAGGTAACACAAATGATTTTTAAAAAAACTGTTCACAGATGTTATAGCATAAAACTTTCCTGGCAAGGAAACAGAATTTGACATACAAATGAGGTGGCCAGGCATGGTGGCTCATGCCTGTAATCCCAGCACTTGGGAGGCTGAGGCAGGAGGATCGTTGCAAGTTTGAGACCAGCGTGGGCTACAAAGTGAGCTCAAGGCCAGCCTGAACTGCATAGCGAGACCCTGTCTCAAAAAGACAATAAATAAATAAATAAATGAGGCATATAGCCATGATCAAAAAAATATATACAGCAAGGCATATCAAAGTCAAGAGCCCAGAGATTAAGCACAAGAATAGAATATTAAAACCTGTTAGAGAAAAGAAACAAATCACCCACAAAGGAAAGCCCATCAGAATCACTCCTGACTTCTCAACACAAAACCTCAAGCCAGAGAGCTTGGAGTGATGTTTCAAAACAGCCTCCAGGGCAGACTGATATATCCTGCTCACCTATCTTTCAGAACTGATGGGAAGGCCAGGCATGGTGGCACATACCTGTAATCCCAGCAACAGGCCAAGGCAGGAAGATCACTGCAAATTTGGAGCTAGCCTGGGTTATGACATGAGTTCAAGGTCAGCCTGAACTTCAGAGTGAAACCCTGTCTCAAAAAGAAAAAAAAAAAAATGATGGAGAAATAAAATACTTCCATTACAAAGAATGCCACAGGGAATTCATGGCAGTCAAAACAGCATTCCACTATGTCCTGAAAGACACTCCAGCAAGAGGTAACAAGGACTACAACTCCATGAACTCCAACAAAAAAAATCCATCAGGAAAGGCAAACAATTAAAAGGGGAAAAATAGAGAGCCAGCAATAGGAAAGTAACATGATGAGGGTAAGTCAACACATATCAGTCACAACCATGAATGTTAGTGGTCTCAACTTAACAAATCAAAAGAAACTGAATGAAGCAGTGAGATCCAAAAATATGCTGTATACAAGATACACATTTAATTGAGAAGGGAATTCATTGACTGAAAGTCAAAGGATGGAAAACAATACTCTATGCAACAGGAACCCAGAAAAAAACAAGGATAGGTATTTGCAGACAAAGTGGATTTCAAGGCAAGACTTATAAAGACAAAGAAGGTCACTACATATTCTTGTAAAGGGAACACTCCAAGAGGAAAAGACAGCAATCATTAATACAGATGCAACAAATATCAGTGTACCAACTATATAAAACAAATATTAACAGACATGAAAAATCAAATAAGCACTAATACAATTGTATTGGGGGATCCAAATATCCCACTGTCACAAATAGATCAACTAGACAAAAAAATCAACAATGAAATATTAGAATTGAACCAAACTTTTGAACAAATGGACTTAGTAGATGTCTACAGTGTTCCACTCCACAGCATCAGAATAAACATTCTTCTCAGCTGTACATGGGATATTCTCCAAAACAGACCACTTACTAGCTCAGAGAACATGCTTAAGTAAATGCAAAGGAACTGAAATTATCCCATGCATATTATCAGACCAAAGTGCAATGAAATTGGAAACTGATGGCAAAAGAAACCACAAGAACTTCTTGGCAATTAACTATCACCCTCCTGAGCAACCAATGGGTCACAGATGTTAAAGAAGAAATTAGTTTTCACAATTCAACCATAATGCCGATAC